GACAGGGGGTGGCGCCCCAACTCCCCAATCAGCCCTGCTCTGAGCCCGACCAGGGGCTGCACCTAGGGATTGGGCCTGCCCTCTGCCACCCAGGAGCAGGCCTAAGCCAGCAGGTCGTTATCTCCTGAGGGGTCCCAGACTGCGAGAGGGCACAGGCCGGGCTGAGGGACCGCCCCCTTCCCTCCCGAGTGCACAAATTTTTGTGCACCGGGCCTCTAGTGTTCATTATAAAGTATTTATGTGATGAAAACAGATTACAAAACAATTTGTAAATATACATTAATTTTTCCCCCCTTAAAAGTGGGGAGAGAAATAAATCAGTTAATCTGAATATATAAAAATTTTATCAGTGGTTATTTCTGGGTATTAATTTTTTCTTTTCACCTTCTGATATATAAAAAACATTTTTGTTGCCCTGGCCAGTGTGGCTCAGTTGGTTAGAGTGTCATCCAGTGCACTGAAGGGTCGTGGGTTCGATTTCAGTCAGGACACATACCCAGGTTATGGGTTCCATCCCCAATTGGGGCATGTGCAGGAGGCAACAATCAATGTTTCTCTCTCACATCGATGTTTCTCTCTCTCCCTTTCCCTTCCTCTCTGTCTAGAATCAATGAATTCTAGATTTAAAAAATAAAAGTAGCCCAGTCTGGTGTTTTTTCAGTGGTTAGAGCAGGGGTCCTCAAACTTTTTAAACAGGGGGCCAGTTCACTGTCCCTCAGACCGTTGGAGGGCCGGACTATAGTTTAAAAAAAAACTATGAACAAATTCCTATGCACACTGCACATATCTTATTTTGAAGTAAAAAAACAAAACGGGAACAAATACAATATTTGTATTGCATGTGGCCCGCGGGCCGTAGTTTGAGGACCCCTGGGTTAGAGCATCGACCCATGCATGGAAGGATCCCAGGTTTGATTCCCTATCAAGAGCATACCTGGGTTGTGGGTTCGATCCCCTGCCCCAGTCGTGGTACATGCAGGAGGCAACCAGTTGATGTGTGTCCCTCACATCGATGTCTCTCTCTCTCTCTCTCTCAACCCACCGTCCCCACCCCTCTTCCCTTTCACGCCCTCTAAAAATCAATGGAAAAAATGTCCTTGGGCGAGGAATTTTTTAAAAAGTAAACAATTTGCATTAAAAGTAAATTTAACATAAAAAATGTTGTTGCCCTGACTGGTTTGGCTCAGTGGATAGAGCATCGGCCTTTGGACTGAAGGGTCCCAGGTTCGATTCCAGTCAAGGGGATGTACCTTGGTTGTGGGCACATTCCCAGTGGGGAATGTGCAGGAGGCAGCTGATTGATGTTTCTCTCTCATCGATGTTTCTAACTCTCTATCTCTCTCCCTTCCTCTCTGTAAAAAATCAAAAAATATATTTTAAAAAAATGTTGTTATAACAGGCATGTTATACTTGTTTAGGTATGCTCGGTATACTTGGTCAGGTCAAGATCAGTAGTAATTAGTATGTGTTTGTAAGTGGTAGAATTATGGTTTGACCTAGCTCTGTTTCACTGTAAAGCCTGTACTTATAATGGGGCAGACAAAGGTGATTAAAAATAATTGGAGACAGACTACTTTTTGTTGAAAAGAAGTTTGGTGAAAAGAAGATGAGAGAGTTGTATGTATGTAATTAGAGTTAAATCCCACAGCTGTGCAGCCCAGCATCACTGTATTGCCTTCCAGTTTGTACTATCTTCCTTTCCCAGCCAGACTTCTTTTAGCATTGTTTTCTCTTCTAAAAGTAAAGCCTTGCAACACTGGCTGGGTAGCTCAATTGGTTAGAGCATTGTCCTTATATACCAAGGTTGTGGGTTTGATCCCCGGTCAGGGTATAAACAAGAATCAACCAATGAATGCATAAATAAGTTTTTTTTTGTTAAAAAAAAACTATGAACAAATCATGTTTCTCTCTCTCTCAAAAAAACCCAAAAAACAATGAAAAAAAAAAAAAAAGCAGCTTTACAGGTGGGTAAAGTGAAAATTAAATGGCTCTCTTTCCCCTACCCTGACTCTCTCAAATTTCTTCCCCAATAGGTTATAAGCAGAGCAGATACTGCTGAGAGTCCTTGTCTATGCATATTATTTTACACAAATGGGATCACATTATGCTTATTGTTCTACAGTTCATTCGAATGAAATATTACCTAGACATTACTTTTATGTCAGTGTGTATAGATCCTATGAAATACTGCTACATAAGTCCTCCTAAGCTATAGCCTATATTAGTATATACCATAGGACTTACTTGCTTAAGAATCTCCCATCATTTCACATCATCTTTTGAAATCATTCATATTCCCCAGTCTAGTATTCAAGACCTTCTGGTATGAAACCACCTTAATAGTTCAACTTGATACTCTACTATCTTATACTTGCTCCAGGCCCCAGCCAGCTGCACTGCTTATTGATGATCGTACGTGTCTTTGTTAGTATTTTTTCTTGTGTCTAAAATTTCTCTCATGTTACTCATCTTTTTGTGACCAAATGCTGCTATTTTCCTTCTTGCTGTCTTTCCTGCTTCTTTTTCCCAAATAGATTTTTGGGGGCAGAGAATATGTCTTTTCAGCATTGTATATTCAGTGCCTTTTATAATTCATGCTCTGAAGAAGCACTAGTATAATCTAGTAGGAGAACAAACTTGAAACATTAAGGGACCATTTCTGAGAATCCTAAGTAGAGCACACCTTATAAACGGGGGCAGCATTTCAGAGGAGGATAGAGTCACTGCTCATGGATACCTGGGCATAGGGATGTTAGGGTGGTTATGAAGGCTTCATGGGAAAGTAGGATTTGAATTGGGACCTGGAAGGAGGGTATGATTTGCATAGGTGGAGGGAGGGAAGGGTGGCTGTTGTGGCCCAGGGAACAGAAGGCCCAGAGGTGGCAGTTGTCAAGTTGCTGAGTGGAGAAAGCCAGATGAGGAAATGCACGTATTGAAGAGTGCTGGGTCCTGAGGCTGCGCCAGGAGATGCGGGGCAGGCAGCAGGAGTCGCTGGGTCCTCCAGCACAGGGAGCGCCCTGAGGAACTGGTGTACTGTGAGGTTCTATCCCATGCCAAGCTGTGCTGGAGTCTGAGGCAAAGGAACTCAGTAATACTGACCCCATCTTCATTCACAATTTTGATATTCTGTTCATTGTAGATTTTTTTGCATTAATTTTGATTGTTAAATATATTGCATTAAAACATGATTAATCTTGGTTACTACATTTTTAGACACCCTCTTAAATTTTGTGCCTCATTCCTAGTCCTGTCTATTTCTGAAGTTTGGTGGAGGGGACATGGGTATTTATTTTATTATTAATCATGGCTTACTCATGTTATAAATATTCTTTGGTTAGCAGACAGTAGTTCATAAAGACAATTAAGATAAAGAAATTAGAATTTTAAGATTAATTTGGAACTTTGGGACCTGAAAATCAAAAGGGGAAAAGAATCGTTTGGGCTCCTAAGTCAATATCTAGGGGAGAATGACTCCCTCTTGTTGCAGCGTATGCAGGGCAAGCAGAAGAGAGTGGTTTTGCTCACATCTAAGTGAGTGAACGATGGCTGGATGGGGGTACCAGAGGCTGTTGTCCACTTGGAGATAGGCCTTCAGCAATTCAGCTGCTGCAGCCAGAACAACTGCTGGAGGCAAGCTTCCACAAATGGGCCACACAGAGTGAACCTGACCCACATCTCACATAAAACAAACCCATCCAGCCATGCTTAAGGAGAAGCAGCTCACTGCTTACCACAGGGCCATGGCCCAGGAAGCAGCGGAAGATTCATGAACTCTATACATGTCTCAAGGCTACTCGAGCCCAATAAAAGAGGTGATGTTTGATACTAGTACATCAAAAAATGTAAAATCTAAAAAATATGAAATCTATTGTTCATTAGCACATTAGTGACTAATAAAGGATTATTTTGAGCCAGGAAAGTCAATGAGTATGCAGCACAAATCTCAAATAAGGCCAGGGAAAGGTTGAAAGGTGCAGGCTCCTCCCCTCGCTCTGTCCCCAGGTGCACTGCTCAATCTTTTTTTTTTTTTTAATATATTTTTATTTATTTCAGAGAGGAAGGAAGAGGGAGAGAGAGAGAGAAACATCAATGATTAGAGAGAACCACCGACCCGCTGCCTCCTGCTTGCCCCCCACTGGGGACCGAGCCTGCAACCTGGGTATGTGCCTTGACCGGAATCGAACCTGGGACCCTTCAGTCTGCGGCCAATACTCTGTCCACTGAGCCAAACCGGCTAGGGCATGCTCTGTCTTTTGATGTGACCTCCCAGTCAGGGCCAGCGTTCAGTGAGAGCTTATTTGGGCTCCGGGTGGCTGTTTTGGCATGACATGTAAAAGCCACAGGCTACATTTTATCAGGTGAGTGGGTGGTCACAGATGATGGCTGATTCTGAGGCCTAGGACCAAGATCCTCTCCACCACATACTTGCTGGGATAATGACCCCTCTTGTTGGAACTACTGGCAAAGTTGTTCTTCAGAGTTGAAGGAGAGATAAATGGTATGTTCCAGTGCTACTGGGATAATCACATGCATACTCCTTCCCAGTGAGCAAATACCTTAGAGTTGTACCAGATCTCACTTGATCCTGGCAGAAACACATCAGCCACACTAGTTTTTGGTTCTGTGAATGGATGAATCAATAAAGCCCTTTCTTTTAGGCAATTCTGTTGAGCCTGGCTTCTTGAGATCTATTCTCAAAATAATAAACTTCCATGTTTCTTCAAGACCATGTTTAAACCTCCTGTGAAAACCTCGTCCTCTCCATTTACAGTTGATCTCTCCCTGAATACTCACCATCATGTTTTGTAGTTATTTGTTTCTGCCTTCTTTATAAGGCTGTGAGCTTCATGATGGTAGGGACTGTGGCCTTTTATTCCTCTTCTTATGCAGGGCCTTGTACAGTGATTGGCCCAGAGCAGGTGCTTCCTAAATGTTGAATTAGTAATCAGGGGCTCACGGGTTTACTAAGATTTTTGTACTTCTCTCTTCCATTTCACCAGGCTGCAGGAATTAGTTGATCGAGTCCTAGAACGTTTTCAGGCATCTGGACTAATAATGAAAGAATGGACTAGTGTGAAACTCCATGCTACTGTCATGAATACTCTGTTAAGGAAAGATCCCAATGGTAAGTCCACAGAACTGTAGCACAGTTTGTCATTAGTAAGGCCAAATGATAAAATCTCGAGAGTTTAAGTAGAATGGGCCTATCAAATAATTTCTGATATATCTTCTTTTTTTGATCTGTTAGCTTGTTTAAATGAGCACCGTGGAAGTGTGCAGGGACATGTCTAGCATGAGATTGTGGCATCCCTACTCTTTTATTTCTGTCATACACAGGGTTGTCAGATTTAGCAAATAGAAATATAGGATGCCCAGGTAAATTTTAGGTAAACAATGACTAATTACTTTAGTATAAGTATGTCCCATGCAATACTTGTTGGCTTATTTTGAAAGAAGAAAGGAACATTAGCTGGTAAAAGTAAATGTTAGACCAGTGGTTCTCAACTAGCGGCAATTTTATCCCCTAGAGCAGTGGTCACCAACCGGTGGTCCGCGGACCACCGGTTGGTGACTGTTGGTTTAAGGAAACCTTTGGAGCAGTGGTCACCAACTGGTGGTCCGTGAGGTCCGAAAGGTTGGCGACCGCTGCCCTAGAGGATATATGGGGTTGTCTGGAGACATTGTTGGTTGTCACAGTTAGGGGACAAGGGGTGGGTTTCTGCTGACATCTAGTGGGTAGAAGTCAGGGATCCTGTGTAACCCTCTGCAACACACAGTATAGACCCCACAACAAAGAATTATTCAGTCCAAAATGTCAACAGCACCAAGGTTGAGGAACCTTTTGTTAGAGTAATAATTTTTTCCCCCTCATAGAATCTGAGGCTTCTTATAAAAATGCCTTGTTTTAACCCTACATTTCAAAAAGGATCTTCTTTTCTTTCCACTTCCCCTCCCCAACTGAAAGCTTCTTTAACACATTCAGCATCTGTCTGATCAGCCACAAATTCAAGTTCTATGCAGCTTCTTTTTCAAAGACCTATTGTGTAAAAGATATCAGCACAGAATCCCATGTTTAGTGTTGTTTTTTAACTCAATAATTCTTTTATTTTGATTTTGATTTTTTTAAAATATATTTTATTGATTTTTTACAGAGAGGAAGGGAGAGAGATAGAGAGTTAGAAACATCGATGAGAGAGAAACATCGATCAGTTGCCTCCTGCACA